ACTGTCGGTTCACACCCCATCACAAGCCAGCAAAACATCCACGAAACAAAGAAAGGTCTATCACAGCCAAAAAATACACTCCAGACACGCCGCTGGCACTAGAGGCACAGCATGGCCGCGTAGTATATATATATATATATATATATCGTCAAATAGAACTGCCCGGTAAACCGTAGGCAGAGAGGGAGAAGAGGACAACAAACGAGGGGCTGTGACAAACTGTTTCGTCGGAGTTTCACCGACTCATCAGGAGGCTGAATATATCCCTCTCCTGACGACAAAGTGCACACATTCTGACATTACATAGTCTCATTAAATGGGACAATGATACCCTCTTAGAGGGCGCCTGTTCCGCTTGTCCCCTTACCTCCAGACACTATGCATGGCATCTCTTTGTTGTTGTTTTCGTTGTTTCTGTTAGCAGTGCTTGTCAAGCTTTAATGGACTGCTCACGTTTATGTGGTATTTACTTGCATCCCTAATTACAATTTAGGAAAATGGTAATGCACATGGCAAGCAACTCAAGAAAGGAAGAGCACTCTATGAGGTTTGTCCATACCTTTTGTATTTGGTGCCGAAGGATCTCATGCCTCTTTGGTCCACTCACATTCTGCCACAATGAGACACAAACCCCACACAACAGCTTTCAACTTTAGGAGGTTGATGAAGTTGACATGAAAAAGAAATAAGTAAAAAAAGGAATCGTTCACTAGGGGCATTGATCAGAAAGGTTGGAGCCTTGCTCACAAACTTATCTAGGTCTGGCTTCTGGATAATTAAATGAAGATTATAAAATAAAAATGAAATGGTAGGGTCAGCTGTTCTTATGTTACTGGACTAGGAATATCCGGATATGAGGGACACCGTCAGGTAAATGAGATTGCCGCGCGTAGGGCCACCGCAGATCCGCCCATGTAAGAACTATATTGGGAGAGGGAGTCGTACCCAGGCAGAGCAAAGCAAGAAAAGACAACGGAAAGGACAGAAGGACATAGGGCGGTGGTGATTGCATGTGAAGACATACAACGGGATATGTGTTGCAGGCGGAATGCTAAATGAGCCAATGAACAAAAAGTGAGGTGCAAAGCACATCACCCATCATCTCACTTTTTGACATGAGATCACAATTGATTAGAACAAAAAGTGAGGCGCATAGCACATCACCCATCACCTCACTTTTTGACATGCGATCACAATTGATTAGAACTCCACAGAAAAAAAAACGGGGTTCAACAGTGACGGTGTCACACCCAAAATAGTCGATGAAACCAGAAACGATGATGAAGAATTGAACAGCTCAGTGTGGCTGAAAGGCCCAAGTGATGTTAAATACCTTGGCATCATTGTGGCAGTGGCGGCACCAAAACACCTCGTTGCAGCATGGCGCCCGGATTTTGCACCGCCTCTTGTAATGAGGACACCTGCACAATGACAGCAACCAAAATGCTCAACGCGCGGCAATCTCATTTACCTGACGGTGTCCCTCATATCCGGATATTCCTAGTCCAGTAACATAAGAACAGCTGACCATACCATTTCATTTTTATTTTATAATCTTCATTTAATTATCCAGAAGCCAGACCTAGATAAGTTTGGGAGCAATGCCCCTAGTGAACGATTCCTCAAAACCAAAAAAAGTAAAAAGCAAACTATGGAAAGGACTGAATGGTTCATGGACACAGACCATGTGTTGACAGGAGGCAAGACGGTAAAAACCAGACTTTGGTAGCGATGGTGGGAAGGTGTGAGTAAGTAATATCCGGCCTGAGGGGCTGCCAGGACAACCCCCCCCCCCCCCCCCCCCCCCCCCCCCCCCNGAGAGAGAGAGAGAGAGAGAGAGAGAGAGAGAGAGAGAGAGAGAGAGAGAGAGAGAGAGAGAGAGCTTCTTCTTATCCTGGTTATCTGCTGCCGGTTAGGGCCCGCACTATTTCTTGGCGGGATAATCAGTTGTAAGCCGATTTCAAATTTGAATACTGCCGGTAACTGAACGACACAGCGGACTAGGACGACGTGTGTGGGACTACGCCGGTAGTTAGTTGAATGGTATAACAGGAGGGCAAGGCCGTCGGCCCTCTATTCTCAGTTGCTTGGTCGAAAAGTCTGGTGGTGCCACAAGGCGGATCTGGGGAGAAGCCCCCTAAGGAGTGCCAGGGGCGCAGCCTGGCCGAAACTTGTCGGGGAAATTGCACGTTTTCTGAGAGCTGTACACGCGGAGAAGAAATGTAAATCTGTTGATGCATGTACGAGAAGCAGTCTATGGCCACTGTTTTCACTATTCTTCTTCTTCTTCTTCTTTGCTGTCGCTTCTTCTTCTTCTTCTTCTTTGTCGTCGTCGTCATCGTCGCTTCTTCGTCGCTTATTCGTCGCTTCTTCTTCTTCTTCTTCTTCTTCTTCTTCTTCTTCTTCTTCGCTTCTTCTCCTTCTTCATCGTCGCTTCTTCTTCTTCTTCTTCTTCTTCTTCTTCTTCTTCTTCTTCTTCTTGCTCCTTCTTCTCCTTCTTCTTTTTTTCCATCTTCTTCTTCTTCTTCTTCTTCTTCTTCTTCTTCGTCTCGCCATTGTTTGTCACCCCTTGCCTGCCATCCTCCACCATTGATGATCATCATCTTCTTGTTCTTCTTCTTCTTTTTCTGGCCATCATTTGGCAACCCCTGGTCTTCATCCTGCACCACCAATCATCTTTTTCTTCTTCTTCTCGGCCATCCTTTCTTACCCCCTGCCCGCCATTGTCCACCAACAATCATCAATCGTTTTCTTCTTCTTCTTCTTCCCCACCCTGTCATCCACGTGGCCGGCCTTGTACATAAGACGGGCGGAGCTTTCCTTCCTTACTTTTTTCCATTGTTGTTTTTTGTCTTTCTTCTTAAGTTTTTTTTTTGGATATCCGGATGGCCCTGGACCATCCCGTTCATCCGGCCGGAAATAGAACCCCGGAAGAACCCGGAAATAACCCTTCTGGGGCCTGCGAAAAAAAGGTGCAGTGCCTCTTCCAGGGGTTTAGGGGTGCCAAGGGGTTTTGATCAACCCCTGAGACCCCGTCGTGGTGGCAGATTCGGTAAGGCCCCTACCAAATTCGAAACAAAACTGGCCTGATCTGGGCTGTCAATCCACTAAGATCAACGGCCCAGATCGGGCCATTTTTTAATTCAAATCCGCAGCAGCCGGTTTGGGACTGCACGCGGGTAGTGGTCCGAACCCCCCGTCCCTCCCCAGCAACGGCCCCCTGCTCCGTCGCCACGTTGCTTGCTGCTCGTCCCGCACTGCTTGCTGCTCGTCCACCCACTGTGTGTTGACGCTGACGCCCAGTTGCCCCGTTGTTCTGCTGCTCAGCCATCGCCACCGCCGCTAGAGCATCGCCGGGAGCCTCCTCCTCCTCCGCCATTGACATCAAGGTGAGCCTTCATGCTGCCGTCCTCCTCTTCTTCTCCCTCCTCCTCCTCCTTCACCTCCTCCTCCTCTTCTTCCTCCTCTTTCTCCTCCTCTTTCTCCTCCTCCTCTTTCTCCTCCTCCTCCTCCTCCTCCTCCTCCTCCTCCTCTTCCTTCTCCTCCTCCTCCTCATCACCGTGCGGGGGAAAGAGAAGGAGGAGGAGGATGCCACGATGACGAGGAGGAGGAGGAGGAGGAGGAGGAGGAGGGGGACGGAAGCGATGCTGTTGGCACGGACGTCGACCCTCCCCCTGCGTTTTTTTTGTTTTGTTTTGTTTTTAATCAATCAATCAATCAATCAATCAAAGCCATCGATTATGATGGATCGGTATTGATTCAAGATCCTATTGAATTGCGATTTGATTGGATCTTGCATCAACCAAGATCCATCCGAATCGATGGTCTTCATTGATTGATTGACATTCAATGTCTTTTTCACAAAACAACTCTCAAATTTGAATCTGCGGTAGGCCTATTTAAGCGGGGGGGGGAAAAAACACTCTTTTTTCTGGGCATTTCCGGATAAACCACATGCTGGATGAACCGGCCGGATATTCCGACCAATTAATCCGGCCGGAATTGTTAAACAACTTAGTTTTTTTCGCCTTTGCTCTCCGATACATGGTCGGGCGATATATATAGGAGGTGATGAACAGACGGAGCTTTCCTTCCTTACTTCTGTCCTTTTTTGGTTTTGTCCTTTTTTGTTTTATTTGGTTTTTCATTTATCTTTAGTCGACCATTACTCCCAGATCTGGAATGACATATGTATATTGTCGGCCCTCTCTCTCTCTCTCTCTCTCTCTCTCTCTCTCTCTCTATCTATCTATCTATCTATCTATCTATCTATCTATCTATCTATCTATATTGTCACATCACTACAAACTAAAAGAGCGCACTTTGCGGAACAAAGAATAAAAGCAAAAAACGGGCACAGTGATAACATGCAAAAATAAAAATAAAAATAAAAACAAAAAGAAAAAACAAGGGCAGATTGAAACCATTAAATTTCTCATTCTTCTTTGAACTCCACCTCCACTGTGCCTCTCACGTGCAAGGCTCGCCACGTTGATGAAGTTGAACGCGAGATGCCCCCATCCCCGTATGCCATAACAGCCCACTTGCACGCTGTGAGAGAGGCAGAGTGAAGGGGAAGGTGTTAAACACAGGGAAAAGCTCAAGAATATACATATATACACGACATTGAAAGTTGAAACGCAAGCGTACAATTGTTAAACAATTGTGAGCAGTTGCCAGATCAGGAGTATGGAAGGGAAGAAGAAGGGAAAACAGGATAACAGGTTGAAACTTTCTTCTTTCCTTTGTCTTTTCCAGGTTTTATGGTGCTAGGTGGTCACGGACAGCTGGGGTGCGCAGCAGAGGATGGGAGACAGGATAAAAGGGCAGGGTCAAAAGTTAGAAGGCCGCACCGCCCAGAGACACGGGCAACAGGGATGGGGAAACAATGTCCAGAACCCAGGGTTGGTGTTTCATCTTTCCCAAGCTGCCTGTGTACGATGCCCCTTCAGTCGAGTCGATAAATGCCATACTCTCCATGTGCAGGTCTACTGAAGGAAGGAAAGCATGCAGCCAACTCCAATCATCACTATCCCAGCCATATTCCACTCCCCTTCCCCAATCGTGCAACACACTTCTCATATGCCCTCCTGGTGTCCTCCCTCTGTCCTGAAGCCCCTTCCTCTATCTTGGCATCCAACTTCATCAATCCCAACCCCAAGCCTCTTCCCCACCCCCATCATTTCCCTCAGACGCAAGTCTTCGCAACAAGCCAAGCTAGGTTGGAGAATGGCATGTATTTTTTTTTCAACTTCACTCCCAGACGCAGCTTCCCAAGATTTCTTCTTCTTCTTCTTCTTCTTCTTCTTCTTCTTCTTCTTCTTCTTCTTCTTCTTCTTCCTGCTACTACTACTCTTCATACTACCTTCCTGAGCACTCACCCATATTGGCAAACACCTTTGGACAACCTCTTCTCCTCCTCAGTTTGTATTCTCTTGGTCTTGACACAAGGTGCTGTACTGTCAACACCTTTGCAGTTGCCTTCAATCTCAACATCCTCGTCGTCCTCATCATCGTCTTCATCATCATCATCATCCTCAGCATCGTTTGGGACGCCCGTCTCCTCACCCTCAGTCATGTCTCCAGCCCATTCTACACGTGTGTCATCATCATCATCAACATCATCATCATCGTCATCGTTATCATTTCGGATGTGCGTCTCCTGCCTCTCTGTATTGTCTCTCGACCATTCTACATGTGTGCCCCCTTCTGCTACACTGGGCAAGGCCGCATTTGCAGGAAGTAGTCTTACAATCTCCAAAACTGCTTCCTCAGAACTCCCATCCCCATCCACCTGATGGCACATAAACATGATACAACCAAAACTGCCATTGTCAGTAAATCTCAAATAATAGGAGAACCAGAATTTAAAAACAACAACAACAACAACAACAACAACAACATAGCATGCGCAAAGAAAGAAAAGGGGGGGGGGGAGAAGGGCGGGGGGGAGGAACATAGCATGTGCAAAAACAAGAAAGAGAGGACAGGACACAAAGCATGACGAAACTGTCAGAGCTAAGGCACAAACCAGCCAGCGTAGCCTCTTCAACCCATTATCGAACTGCCCACCTTTTCTGAATCACCCATCCACACTTATTTCTCTTTTTTTTTTAACACCAATCACCTTTTAATTGTGCGATTGAAACCACTGGTGGTTGGATCATCTGCGTGCCGCATGACCTTCTCCAGAGCACAGCCTACTGAATCGGTACCCACAACAAACATCAGAGACACCCTTGTGCTTCAAGATTGATTGAATTCAGATCACCATATGCCCAACAAAGGGACATCTAATGCCGGTCCACTACTCGTCCAATCATGGGAAAACTGCCCTGGCAGAAATTACCAACTAACGACAAACAACAACAACAACAATACCCAAATTACCTGGCATGGATAGATCTCAAGGCCACATCCTTCGGGAATGAACAGTAAAAGAATGAAAAAAAAAAATAGACTTGCGTCCTCACATGTTACCATGCAATGGTCAACATCCAATACAGGCAGGAAGGAAGGAAGGTAGGTGGGCTTCCTCCCAAATGATGCACAGGCAGGAGTCACATGATGCACACGCTATGCATAGAGGACTCTAGGTATTAATCAGCCTTCCAGAAATGTGGAGGGCTTGAGGGCTGGAGGCCAGGCAAACAAGCAAAAGAAGTGATAGTTATTCATCGTAACAATGCAATGGCAGCACCTGAAGGCAGGCAGATAGGGTCCATGATGCAAGATGTAGGGAAGGAGCCGCTAGCGCTTCATCCTCATCGATCTGGAGAAGGCCTATGACCAGGTTCGGTGGACCTTGTTGCAGTGCGGGTGTGCACCCTGCTAACTGGTCCTCAGACTTTTATGCATCAGGGCTAAAGGAATTACCATCACCAGGACGGTGAGGCAGGGCCGCCCCCTCTCCCCCGCCCTCTATGTGATCTACATCGAGGCGCTGCACGACTTGCTGAGATGAGGTGACAGACTTCAAGGGTTGAGGGTGGGGCCCAATGAATGGGTGAAGACTTCGCTTTTGCAGATGACACCAGGGCGATCATCCCCCCGACAGTGCAGCAGCTACAGGTGTTGAAGGAGGACTTGGTGACTTTTTGCAAGTACTCCGGTGCTAGGGCAACAGGGGCAAGTCCAAAGCAATCATGCCTAAGGGATTGCCCCTGCCGGACGGATGGGACATCCCCACTTTGGAGGACGAGCAGCTGTGCTTCTTATCTGGGGGAGGTATAGCCCAGATAACCTCCATGACGGCAGCGGCGATAGCCAAATTGGAGGCCTGGGGACGTGTGCTAGCTTAGGTCCATTCGTAAGGCGCTGGTAGTCAACAACTCCATGCTGGCCACTACGTGGTACGCTGGTGCCATCCGTATGCCAAGCAGGCATCTGTTTGCCCACCTGAGGAGAGTGATGCATTCCTATCCATGTGCGGGAAGGGCAGCGAAGGAGGACAGCATCTGCAGGGTGGCATGGGATAAGCTTACCCAGCCAAGATCAGAGGGAGGCCTGGGAGTTTTGAACCCAAGGCTGCAGATGATTGCCCTGCAGGAGAGGAATGTGGTATGGGTCCTGCTGAGAACCACAGGAGAGCCATGGAGAAAGGTGACACAGTCCTGCCTCACCCATGCAACAAGGACTTCGCAAGCGGTGGTAGTTCTATGCTTTGCTAGTGCTGCTATGATGGGCCACGGGCGGAGAGATTCGGCATGGGCCACCACATTGACGTCGTGAAAAGGCTCCATCCAGCTCTGGTGCAGATGGCCGGACTCTGCGGATGCTGTCTTCAAGCAGTACCTGTTCGCCAACAGGTTCATACGCGACATCGCAGAAGATCCCTTTCCATGGCAGGGCAAGGCTGGAGCGTTTGGGTGGCAGTGGGCGGAGCGGGGTATTTACAAAGTTGGCCATTCATGGAGGGGGACTGGAGGATCGATGATGAAATGATTGGGTGTTTGCCCTCGCAGTTCGATAGGCTCTAAAGGTTGAGTGAAGTGCAGAAAGCTATCCCGATTCAGTGGCTTAGCCTGTTGAAGCACGGTGGCGTCCAAGAAGGAGAGTGGGTGAAACACAAAGGGGAAGCTCGCCCAAGCAGGCTGTATAAGGTGGAAGGGGCGCTGGCTGAGGGTAAACACGCAGCTACAGAATGACTGAGGTGCCCATTCGAAGGATCTGGGGAGGAGGGTGTGCCCAGCAGTTGTCAGATCGCCCCATCAGTGGTGGAAACAGTGGCGGTCTGTAAAGGGGGCAAGAGAAGTGAGGAGGCATACCTCCCCTTCTCCCTGAGCAAGAGTAGGAGGCAGCTGGTGTTGGACCCTCACGAATGGCACCTCCCTCAGAACCACAACAAGAAGAGCATTCCTCTGCGGCAGATCACCGCAAAGGCGATCTACAAGTCCCTGCTCAAGTGAACTGATAGATGGGATAAGAGAGAGTGGCTTCCCTCTGCACTAATCCTCAGGTCGACGGTCCAGAAATGGTGGGAGCCGAGTGCGATCTTGAAGACTTTACCTGACTAGAGACAGGCGGGACTGTTATGGCAGGCAGTCCCCACGGCCCAGTGGTTGGCTAAGAAAAGTCGGCATAAGGACGAGTGCTGTCTGGCCCATGGGTGTGCTCAGACAGAGACGATCCCCCACCTCTTCGTACGTTGCCCTGCAATAGCGGATTTCTGGAAGTGGTAGGCGTCTGCAATGAGGGAGCCCTCACCGTGGCTAGTGAATGAGGAGGACGATGCTGCTATTATTCTGCTCGGGGTGTTGATGGTGGTGAATAGGGCGGGTAAGAGCAAGCTTTATGCCGGTGAACTGGTACGAGGCGCCGTGCTGTGGGCCATCTGGACGCTATGTAATGAGCGGACGTTCCAGGGAAAGGATGTCACTAAGCCTGGAGTTAGAAGCAGATCACTGGAGAACCTGAGAGTGGTCCTGCTTGCAGACTGGCTCCCACACACCCGGAAATAGCCGAACGGCGCTGACAAGTTTTGGAAAATACGGGGGGATTATCCGGCTATGGTGCAAAAGGATCCATTGACACACAGCTTCACCTTTGGTCCTCTGTTGCAGAAATATCCCCCTGTTGCAGAAATATGCCCCTATCTTGTGTTTTCATTGCGCAGGGCGTTTCCAGGATGGGGGGGAGGGGGGTCACATGAAGGGTCAAAAAAGAACTGGGGGTAGGAATGTAGGACGTAACAACTTTCTTGTAAACTTCAGTGTATAATAATAGTTCGTTGGGTTCGCGTACTGAGGATTGTCCAGCTGGCTTAAATGTACCAGTAATAGGGGGAATCGCGTACTGAGGATTGTTCAGCTCGCTTAGATGCACCAGTAATAGGGGGAAGGGCTGCAGGCCGGCTGAGGGATCGAGAGATGCTAGAGGTAAGGGGGGTGGGCAGGGAGTGGCTGAAAAAGGAATGGTGAAATAGTCGGGAGAGGTGCAAAAGTTGGACAGAACCGGGAGCTATAGGGGGACATGGGACAGTGAGCTTTTTGGCCCTAGCGATCCAGCAGTGTGGAAGGTATAGATGACAACAGGGAGTTCGAAACATGTTATTACAAAGGAGGGGTTGATGAGAGGATACAGGTAAGGATGGGACATAGGTGGTGGTATCAGATACAGACAGGGAAATAGGTGATGGTATCAGGCATAGATGGGAGTGTGGGTAAAAACAAGGGGAGAAACGGTTAGGGGGGCCAAATATGGGAACGTTGGTGAGGCCTGGCGGCTGGTGAGGCGCCCAATGGTGTGGGTGCCTCCCCTTTTGCATACTGCATATAATGGGTGTCTGGGTATGTTACTCCATTTCCCGGCCATTCTATTCCCTTCGGAAGGGGCTAGGCCGAGGGCTACCGTGGGGCGGGGGGGAGTTCCAACCCCCCCTGTACCGTGACTCGGGTGGCTGTTTCTGCTTTCCTCTTCTTTCGTGTAAACTTGTTTTCTGCTTGCCGGTGATGAGCAACCGGACCAATGCCCCCCAGAATAGACAGGGCTATCTCCTTCTGGGTTAAAAAAAACAAAAGCAAAAAGGGGGCAGAAGGGGGCGCCACCAATCGCCCCAAGCTTTACGACTGAGTCAAACATTTAATCCACTCTTCGCCGTGCAGATCTGTCCTTCCCGATGTATAGGCTCATGCTCCACCTATTTACTTTGGAGACTTTCCCCTTTTCAAATTAAGTTTGGTGAAGCCGTCCTAATTTGTAGGGCTCTACCAAGCGGGGTACAGCAGGCGGGTTATCACGAGATAGGCGCCCTTTTCTTTACCCATCAGGACAGGACAGTCCGACAGGCAAAAACTGAATGGTCATAATTGATGCTTCTGACCGCAATCACAGACACATTCGTTTCGGTCCTGGACCTTCTCGACGATCAGTCAGGCCTGAAGAAACTCTTGGAAAACGAAACCGTGCAGCAGCGGCACTCCCAAGTTGAGTGAGCAGAGTAGAATCTGCAGCCAATTGCGGGGAAGTCAGGAGAACTGAATTCTAAGTGAAAACAGGGGAAAATCCGGAAAGGGAAATTTCTCAAATTTGGCAGTGGAGCCCCTAACTCTCCGAGGAAACTCCTTAACTCTCCGAGGAAACTCCTTAGAGGAAACTCAAAATAAGTCGGAGGAGCACGAGCCATATATCGTCAAAGAGCACTGGGTCAGGAGCTGTGCCTTGGATGCATTTACAGCAATACCATCACCATCACATTTACCAAGGATGTGAGTTCCATCCGCAAAAGGTGACCGCAAGCTATTCTGTGAGAGAAGAAGGAAAAGGGGTTAGAGAAGAAGGAAAAGGGGTGAGAAAAAAAAAAAAGAGAAATTTGCAACAGCATCTCACTGAAAGATGGGAAATTTGCAAGTTGCAACTATGCACGGTGCCAGTGGTCAACTTACTGGTATACCCTCATAAGCTTTTCTGCGAGGAAGAAGGAAGAGAGGGTGAGCAAAAACAAAGGAAAAATTGCAGCTGCACCCCATTGAAAGATGGGAATGGCGGCTATACACGGTGCTACTGCTCA